CATGGCAAACTCCTGGAAGACATGGATGATTCATCATTATTTGCCATCACACATACAGTTGGCATTCACAACATGCTTGTTTAAAACAAGTAAATGAGTGTATGGACTAAAAGAACAAATGAATACTGTTAGCTAAGGCCAGACCTAGAGTGTGGAGTTGTTCTGAGGTTTCTCTATTGGTCTAATACCTTCTGGAAGTTCCTGACCAAATCATCTGATCAGTATATTAAAAACTAAGCCATTTGCATGAGGCATTGTCCAATTATATAACTTTCCTTTACAATAACTGAATACTGCCGTGAGGTAGTCATTGGGTCAGCCTTAGTCAAAGTTATAAAGAAGAAATCAAGGTTTACTTTTGTACTTCCTGTACTGCATCCTATTGCTCTGCTTCCCACGTTTTGAATTTTGGTGTCCAGTCTCCTCATGCTGCCTCCCTCCCATCCAAACTTGCTCTGAAGAAAGAATCTGGAAATTTCATTTACATAAAGGTGTAAATGACTGATATGACTAAAGTTCTGCCCCTCATGCAGCCATTTTTTACATTAACAGATAAAAATGTCATCTACTCCTTTCTTGTTTGTCTTTTGCCAGAAAAATAAGATCTTATGTAAAAATATAGATATCTATGCCTCAGAAGTGAAGATCTGCTGGGGTTCAGAGATTCCACCGATGTAACTGACCTTTTGTCTCACCGCTCCGGGTTTGGACCTGGTCTTAGATCTTATATCTCTCTCAGGTGCAGTGGGGAGATTAACTCTGCCCCATGCTACTTTGGTCATGCACTCCATCCTCTTTGGACTTTCTCAAGTTTTGTCACTCCAAAAAAGCATGACAATTTCCCTGATTTTATTTTCACTTCCATGAGATTTCATGGAGGGCTGGTACTCTACATTTTATTATCAATATTAATGTTATCTAAAAATGAATTTTTATGTGAGTATAAAGCAGACTTAAGGTGAAGGCTTACTATGAGTTTCTAGACTTTGTTGGTATAAAATTTGCTATTTTGAAGGAAGTATCTGAGATGTACAGGTGTAAGAACCTTTTGAAATCATGGAACTTTTGGAGTGATCTTAGAAATTATCTTGTCATTATTATTATTATTTATTCTAAAGATGATCAGCACTATAAATCAACAAAACATTGAAGCACAAGGACTGTATCAGATACTAAGTGTAAGAACAGAAATGTTGAGTGATTCTTCTGGCTATGCTTAAATATGTTATGGTGGAGGAGTTACAACTTTTATGAAATAACTAGTGAAAATAACTCCATCCTATTTATAAATGTTGGCTGAATTAATGACTTTTTTTCTATTTTTTGCTTTCCTCTTAAATATAAAACATACTGAGAAACACATAGAAGACAATCATTATTAAGAGTTTTATCAAGCCCAATATATATTTTCCAGATTTTGTAATCAAAGGTGAAATATACCTGTAATCCTTCAATAGAATTACATTGTTAGATTCACAGACTGTCATGTGTTAACATGATCAATGTGCTTGTATTGCTACAGTTTTTCTTTTCTTTCATTGATTCTGTAAGTATAGAGATTATAGAATAGTATTTGTTCTGTCATGCTAGTGCATTTATCTTATAAAATACATAAATTTAAAGAGAAGACTTTATGCATCATCCAGAAAACAAAGATGCCAAGACAAATATAACTCAGCTGGCTGCTGCTGAGCTTGGACTTCCTGTTTTGTTCCGTGTACATCAAAGACAATCCATATCACTACTGTTTTCTAGGTGATTAGTGAGTTTTCCACAACAATGTTCTTTTCCTTCACTGAGGTACTATCTCAAATATTTCTCCTTCAGAAATGTCTGTGATATAAATATATATAAATACCAAATATAGTATATATATATATTATATATATATAGTTGCTTGATATCTTGATATTTGTTAATGCAAATTGTGATACAATTAGCACTTTCTGGACACTAAAAGACAATCTAATTCTAAAAAAAAAAAAAGAAAGAAAGAAAGAAAAGAGAAGAAAAAGAGAAAGAAAGAATTGATTGAGTTGTCCTCTTTAGTTTGTATGACAACATTCCATGAGTCTCTGGTCCCCAAGCAAGGTAAACTGAAATAAGGATTAACTGACTATTGCAAAGGCTAATTTACAGAAACCGCATGAGTAGTTCCTGAGCACAGCCCAGATAACAAAAATATTATCCACATTGTTTACAGTGGAGTTAGTCAGTTTATTAGTTGGAGTGTTTCATTATGTATAAAAGATGCCAATGATAGTCTCCTAGTCAAAATAAACAGGCATAAAGTGTTCCGCATTTACAATTTGTGGGGAATAGTTACTTTGCTATTTATTTAATAATTGACCATAAATGGAGTCAAAGTGCAAAGGGAAAAACTAAAAAAGCAGCCCACTAAGGGCTTTTTGAAAGATTGATAAATAATGTGGAATCTCAATTAGGCTGTAGAAGGAATGCAGATATTAAAAATTTGGTCAAGAATCTAATTAGCTGGAGGTAATTAAACAGTCTCACACGGGGTCATTAATCTTTTCCATAGACCTTTGATGTTTTGCACACTGTCTTCTAGTCATTAATAAAATTCATAACACTCCACTTTGTGCTGTTTTATCATCATGTTTTTTCTCTGCAAGAGCATAGAGCAAGTGTCATTGTATCACAAGGGCCTTACTTTAGTTAATTTCTTTTCCTTCCCCCCATGCTTGTTAGGATTAACCATTTAACGATCCAAATGAAAAGCAAAAGAGACATTTAAATTTGTCCTTAACTTTAGCAAATAATACAATTTTACAACTTTGTCACCCTTTTTTTAAAAAATGAGGTTTGTACTGTTACCATGAAAATGTTTCTGGAAAATGTTTCTGGAAACAGTGGAACTACATTTAGTTATCTGAAGATTTACACAGTGACATATTAAAGTTGTAATTTCTCAAAGAGAAGAATAATTATTTAATTTAGGAAAAGAGGCTAAATGGAAATTATTGAACACAAACTGTACATTGAGCAACAAAGGAGCAGAATGCCATTGCAACCGTGCATTATTTTGATAAGTTTCAAAGTAACGCCATACTCAGAACTGGCTGGGTTATAAAAGGCAAAGAAAATGCAAAGACTGCATTTAGAAAATATGATTTCTGTGATTGAGAGAAAGTATTTTATTCATTTTCATAAATGCAATGTTTGTGTATGTATTATTTTATTTTAGCCTTTTAACCAAATACATTTCTGAAAAAAATGAAACCTGTTGTTTCACAGAATTGATTGTATTTGTAATAGAGACTGCTACTCCAAAAGCCATTCTACCTGTCCCCTGGTAGACTATATTGAATTAGCAGAGATTGCTAAAAAAGATCCAGTAGTTCTGAACATTTGACTTCAGGAATAATGCTCTCACAATGATGGCATAAGAAAATATATAGGAAATGGGTTATTCATCTGAAAACACCTGAAAGACTTCAAAAGCATTCATTAAAGAAATACACAGAAAAGACTTCTGCAGAATATAAAACACAGAGAATGTTATTTTATATTGATTGTTTGTTTCTGAAAGAATTGTTAAACCAAGCAAAAAAGTAAACTCATAAGCACATTTAATTAAATGATTCTTACTGAAAAAAAAATCACTTGCTTTTTGAATTTTTTGGGACTGTTAGATACTATCATCTTAGGTTCTGATATGGTATTTTATGTGGGTAAAATCACAGCATTTTTTTTTCACTTCATTTTATCTTCCAAATAATTAGCATTACTCTTTTAAAATAAATAATAACACTTTTCCCCTTAAAATAACCCCAAATATTTGCATGAAGCCAAATTCTGTTTGTTAAAATACTGTTCTAACAAACTGTCACATTTTAATATCTATAAACATCTTTATTTATTTAAAGAGTAAGATAAATAAATTCAGAAGAGAAAAATATGTCATTAATGTCATGAAAAGAAAGATCATATTAAAGAAAAATGTCTTTGACTGTTCACTAATAGTGCATTATATGAGATTGAGATGGAATCCATTAGGCATAATATGAAGAGAGGAAACATATCAACTTCACGTACAAAAAGGAGTCTCTCAGACAATCTATGTGGATTCTCTAATCAAAAATAGAAACACCCACTCACATTGATTAAAATTTAATAGTGATTTAACTAATCAGGATGTTTATTCTAAGCAATTACATAGTAAGGCTAATTGTTAAATTTGTACAGCTTTGTTACTCTCGATCCTCCAGTGACATAAATTTAAAACCGGTTGAAGTTAATGACTAAGGGAATGTAAACAAAATAGTTAAGTATTTTAAAATATTAAAAGGCTTAATAACATGCTGCAGTAACACAAAAAAAGGTTTATTTCACACTGTGAAAATTGGACTTCCTGTGATGGATTTTGTACTTTCTGTTTTTAGAGCTATAAATTGTCTTAGGAAGGTCCTGAATTGGAGATCTATTTTTAAAGATATAAAGTAAGTTTAAACAAAAGAAAAAGTATAAATGGAATTAGTAACATTGTATTTGAGTAAAATTTTAAATGAAGTAGTTTGCATTTTATGCTTATATATCCTTGTGCTTATGCATTTGTGTGAGTTTTGGCATGTCGTTTTTAATTGGGTATTTTTCACCCCGGAGATATTGTCTATTTTAGAAAAAATGAACAATGGACCAGATATTAATGTAATTTATCATTATATGGCATATAAAAACACATCTTAAAAAGCAGTTTTAAAACATAGTGATTTAACTGTGAATAAAAAGACTAGGCATTTAATAATAAATAGAATCAAAGTTTTATTTCCATGAGAAAATAGTTAAACTCCATAAATATTAAAGCATTAGAAGTTTTTTATTTTAATATTTAGGTGGTTTATATGCTATGCTTATGTTAGCTAACTGGATATTAATGTATGCTTTAAATAGTCTACTAAAAAATCTAGAAATATACATAAATTATCAGAAGAATAAATATTTACTCAGCTAAATTTATCTTTATCTCTTTCGGTTCCAGAGTTTGAATCTATTTCTTTACATGAAGAGGACCGAGGGATGAAAAAGTGAGTTCAATTGCTTAAGTATTTTTGATTCAATACCTCCTCCCAATTTCCTGGTTAACTGTAAGGTCATTCCCCAAACAGCAGGGCATAGGGGAAATATACAATTTTGGAATCATTATATCATTTCCTGTCCTATTTCCTGTCAACTGTTTCTGTCAGAAATGGCTAATCATGACCTATTTTCACCAAGAAAGGAAAGAAGCTAAAGTCAGAATCATGCCGTTGAATTAGATCTTTTTCCTAAATGTAGTTATAAAATCTGGACTAAAGAGGGCAGGAGATACTCTATAAAAAATCTACAGAAGCCCAAGAAGAAATCTCTATGAGAAAATCCTCCCCACATTTGAGCATATGATAAAGTGATTTATTTTCAATAAAATCTGCATAAATGCTTTAGTTACTTTGATGCAGTGATTAATGGGAGTTTCAATGATATTTGTAGGCGTGAGATTCCCTCTACACTCAATGTTCAGCCTACTTCATTGCGTTTGTATCAGCTATGAATGTTTCTTAAGCATTCTTCTGAATTTCCAGCAGTTTCCTTCTCAATACAGGAGCAAGGAAGTTAATAGTGGCCTGTCACTACAAAACATGTCATTCATTTAGTGTAAAATACGAGGTCTTTCTAATCTTTACTCCACCCTCAAACTTATTTTTAAAAACACTTGACAACATATGTCATAAATGGATCTGTCTCTAAATTAATGTGGATTTCTAGGTATATACCAGCTGAAGGGACGTTTAATCTCTTCTCAATAAAAGTCCATGACTTCCTTTTCCCTTTTTTGAAAACTTTTATAAATATATAGAGCAAAACTGAGAATCTGAAACCAGACTGCTTGCTGAGAAATAAATGAATGATCATGATCATCATGTGGAGGCAGACATTCAAGGAAAATTGCTTAATAGAGACCAGGTACTGCAACTTCTTCCTTCTTTACTTTCCAGTGGCACAATTTTGTTTTAGTCTATAGATTTATAGTTAATCTGACATCTTCATAAGCATTTGTAGATACGAGGTACTTAAGTAGAAAGAAAAAATAGTTTTGAAAAGAATTATACATTTCATGTAGATATTATGTTTTAATTAAATTAAAATACCATATGTTATTTTTTTCTTTGCATGTATTTAGTCAAGTTTTTACAATTATTGTGATATCTTAATTATTCTAATTTAGTTTACTACAGTGTAAATTTTAACTTCTAACTGAGGAGGTTATATGAAATAATTATTATACTTATTATAATGGATCTGTATGTTATTTCATTGACTGACTAAATTTAAACTTGAGCAGGCAAAAATAAATGTCAAAGTGCTTAACCTTTATTAATAGGATGAAATTTCAGGTAGCTGAAGATAGTCATATATAAAGAGTTTAACACTGAGTATAAATGTGTAGAAAATTTGAATTGCTTTTATTTGGGCAGGTTTTATAATTTCTCACCTCTCAGCACATCAGAAGTAAATATTGGCCCTGCACACTTGGATCCTTCTAAGCAGTGGACGCTTCTGTTAGGTTGAGACTAAGGTAAACAGTGGCTGGTTTTCAGAGGCTAACCTTCAGCTGTTAGATGAATGAGAGACATTGTCACCCACAAAATCACAACTACATGGGCTCTAGGCTATTTTCGTCAATGGCTGTAAATGATTCTTTTTCTTAAATTGAAGTCAAAGAATCTAAGGCACCTCCCTAATGTCTGTCATTTGTTTCATTTTTCTGTCTTACAGAGATCAAACTTTTGGTTATTTGGAGAACTGGAGAAAAAGAGGCCCTTTCTGTTATAATGGAAAATAACTTACTGGTAACAGCAATAATCTCAACAGTTTTATTACTTCATGTACATAGGTAAATATCACTTTGCTTTCCTGTACAATACATTTCAAATTTCCAACAGTGAAAAGGGTTTTTAATGAAAAGTTTTTTTCCCAGCTGTCTTTGGACTAAATATGAAGCTCATGAAATTTCCAAAATTAGGAATTCTGAACATTTTATATAGTTAAATAAAAACATTCCATGACCTTTGTTGATCATAAAGTCTTAGGAATCTATGACTCTTGGATTCTTGATAGCACCTGGGTTGTTCTGGGTTTGCTGATGTTCAGGCTGTCTCTGAATTTCATGGTGTGCTGAGAATGACACCGTCTTAGATTTGAACTTGGAAAATTATAGCAAACTTAACTGGTATCCTCATATCTAGATGAAGGCTCTGCAATAGTTACAGTGATTGCTTTAAGGCTACATAAGGTACTTCATTATATGCAGTGGCCCTGTGAAATTTACAGGATTTTTTCACTTGCTGAAAGATATCATGTTGAAGTTTAATTCCCTTTAGGCCAGTAAATATTTATTGAGGGCCCACTCAGAATATTTGAAGATGGTAAACCAATCTGTCAGAATATGTAAACATATATTCCTGTAACTGACTTTTTTTCTGAAATACATCAATATAATCCCAGTTACAACTGTTTTATAAGACAGAGGGAGAAGAGAGAAGGGAATGATATGGAAAACTGCCATTTAAAAACTTTTTTAAAATCAGAAATTTAGATGATACTCTTAGAATTGCTTTCATGATAGTCTAAGGTTTATGGTGAGCAGAGACACTATTGGAAATTGTCCACAGAAATTTATTAATAATGCTATTTAAAAATTAGACTTGTTTTGCTCTTGAATAAAAAATACTGACCTATACAACAAGCCTGGGCAACATAGTGTGACTTCCATCTAAAAAAAAAGAAATTAAAAATAATCAAAAAATATATGTATACACATGCATGCACACACACACACACATATATATACACATACACACACACATATATATGAACCTAAATTTAAGCACATGGTTTACTGGGTGTGGAGAAAATAGTAATGTTGTTTTGTTTTGAGGATTTTATTTTGTTTTGAAATTACTGGGATTTGTTACATTTCATTTGCAGATACAGTAAAAGTACATGATTCCTGTCAAGTTGATCCTTGAATAGGTGGGACTATAAAGAAGCGATACTGATTTTTTAAAGACACACAAACTGCACAAAGTTGAGGCAGGATTGACCTTCAATATAGTTATTTCAAGTATAGTGAGTACAATCATGAGTTACAAAAAATACAACTTCATTTGGAAATATCTTGTGATCTTGTTTATAACCTTTTCTCTTGTTCTTTCCCTCTGTCATACAGTTGTGTTGTCTCCAGTGTTTACTCAGTCTTACAAAGTGAAAAAATCACAGGTTTTAACCTCTTGGTGTCTCAGTGTCTTTATCTGAAAAAAAAAAAAATACCCATTATGATAATCACTTAGACTGCAGTTTCTGGCATTAATTCTGTCTCAGGTATAAGTCAATTCCTTAAGAAGGTACTGACATATTTGATCAATAGCAAAATGATTGGAAAGAAATGAGATGCATAAACTCATAACCTCACTTTTTAAGAAGGCAACATACATGTGGATGTGTAAAATCTGAATTATTATTTAAAATCAGACTCAAAGATTCTGAGCCATACCTCTAAGGTCTCTAATTTCCTTTGTTCTGAATGTTGGCGTTCCCCTCAAAATCATATGTTAGAACCTAATACCCAATGTGATGTGGGATTTGGGGAGGTGATTTGGCCTTCAGGAATTGGATCAGAGCCCTTATAAAAGAAGCATGAGGGAGCTTTTTTGTTCCTTCTCTCACCTGAGTTTGCAGCCAAAAGGCACCATTCATGAAGCAGAGGGCAGGCACTTATCAGACACCAAATTTGCTAGTGCCTTAATCTTGGATTTCCTAGCCTCCAGAACTATGAGAATCAAATGTCTGTTGTTTATAAATTATCCAGTATAAAGTACGTTTTACAGCTGACTGAACTGACTAAGGCATCCTGACTGTACACAAGTTGGGACAAGTAGACTCCAACACAAGGTTGCATTCAGCACTCGGGGCATGGTCTTTTGCTCTTTCCTTGGGCAGTCAAGATATACCATTAATATACAGCAAAGAAGAGGAACTGGTGTCAACTCAGGAGAGAAACCAATAAAATTATTTCTAATTAGGAAGCAGAAAGTTGTGCATATACGTGATTTTACAATTTAAAATGTAACTCATATCTTTACATTTTCCAATACCCGTGTATTTTTCTGTGGAGAAAATACTTAAACAAAAATTATAGTGCTTTATTTTCATTCTATATTTTTTCTTAACCAAAAAAGTGGTCAGTTCATTCCCCAATTGAATAAACTGATAAAATTACGTTTAAAGCATTATTAGGAAAAGGTGACTGCTCATGTGACTAAACCACACCATTACCAAACATGAGAAAGTAATTGAATAAAAATAATAGCTTTTGAAATTTGTTGAAGCAACTTCCATCAATAATACTTGCCATGGGGAACGGTGGCAAATTACCTTCTCATTTTCTTTTGTTTTTATAGGTTTTTGGCCCAGTTCTAAGTGAATGCAATATATTTCAGAACATCCTTTCCTTTTAGACTTTTCTATTTTGTCTTCCCCTCTTCATCTTTCTCTTGGTGGCTTTTGAATTTCTCCCGGACTTTGTTCCTTTTCTGAACTTTTACCCACCATTTACACTTCAACTCTCTAAGAAGATTCCTTAACTTTATAATTGGCATATGGATACAAGAAATGTTGGTTTTAAGGATTTGTTCTAATTTGTTTTAACCTTACCTCAACCTTATCCTCTTCAAGATATTGTACTAGAAATATGTCTGGTTAGCCAATAAAACTGGAATATAGCTGTTTGCAGCATTTTTATTTATCATAGAACTTTGAGGGAAGAATTATATATATTGGAGATATCTTTAGCACTTGAGTAAAACATGAATTCAGACTTTGATGAGACCTTTCTCGGTTTTAGTAGATTTGTGTCTACAGGGTGATCTGGTTTTACTTCCTTTTTTGACAATTGTTAAAAGAAATGTTCAGTGAAGTCCTTTTAAAGAACAGTTGGATTTAAAGCAATTCATTGTAATGGCATTTTAAATGGTGGCACAAATATAATAGAAAAACTTACATTTTTGCCATAATTCCTAATGAAAAATTAGTTTATAAACTCTCTTTTGCAGGCATGGATTCATGCTCAACAAATCAATTTTCTGCTCCTCTTTTATTATCAAGTAGCAGATTCAATAAGTAAAAATATTCTGTAAATTTAAGATCATTTCCTATTATACATGAACATAGTTTTAAAGTACCTTGTTTCAACAGGGCACGGTGGCTCACACCTGTAATTCTAGCACTTTGGGAGGCTGAGGTTAGCAGATCACGAGGTCAGGAGGATGAGACCAGCCTGGACAACACGATGAAATTCCGTCTCTATTAAAAATACAAAAAAAAAAAATTTAGATGAGCATGGTAGTGGACGCCTGTAATCCCAGCTACTTGGGAGGCTGAGGCAGGAAAATTGCTTGAACCCAGGAGGCGGAGGTTGCCGTTAGCCAAGATTGCACCACTGGCCACGGCACCCTAGTCTGGGCGACAAGAGCAAGCCTCCAAAAAAAAAAAAAAAAAAGAACAAAAAACAAACCTTGTTTCTCTACACATTTTAACCAGAATGCTCAAGACGGTGTCATATTTGTCAGTAGTAGAAGGATCGGACCAGGAAAAAGTGAAAATATATATATATATATATGTATACACACACACACACACACATATGTATGTACATATATACACAAACTAAGCAAAAAAAATCCAGTAAGATTACATCTCTATCTCTACATACCATGCTCTAGAACAAATGGACTTCGTAGATGGGGAGCCCACGTAAGATATACTTTGCAAGATTGTAAATTTAGCATTAAAAAACAAGCATCCTTTGCCCTCAAATTCCATCTTACGCTTGAGGGTTGGTAATTTGGATGACTGGATATTCATTTGGTCTAAAAGAGCCAACTTGAAGGTAAAGAGTTTACTTTAAATCAGCATGCTTAACCAGTTCTGAGGCAGGTGTAGAAACATCAGCAATGTTGTGAAACTTTAATTTGAAAGGTTTACTCATCCTGAACATGGAACTTTTAAATGCTATTTTCTTTGTTAGTCCTTAAAATATTAGAATCAAGTCAGTCTTTAGTTCATTTTACGTACATTTCTTCCTCTTCTCATACAAGTATGTTGTACTTTGAGAAGTCCTCTTAAGCGGCAATTACGTTGGGATATTTTCTTTTTAATTCAAGAAATAGATGCAGAAAATCAGACTTGGATTCCTGGCTCCATACCAACAACTCACAGTTCTCTTCAGCTCTTTTCTGTTCTGCTTCTGTAACTGGATAGACGATGGTTACTTTTAATGGCTGCTTTGGGGCTTGAGGGGGGTGGTGCGGAATTTTATACATACACACTCACAGGAAAAGAAAGCTATTATGGACAGGAGATTGTTGAAAGCTTTACTGACTTTCATGCTGTGAAAAGAAGACACCGAGATACCTTATGCTTTTGATGCCTGAGGGCCACTAACCAAAAAGGGAAGAAGAAAAACACATTTACATGTTGTGGCTCTGATTCAAAATTCTTTTCCTTTTTTCCATCTATGGGTGCCCAAATGGGGGCAAAAAGCCAGCACCTCAATTTTTTGTTGTTGTTGAAAGGGTAAAAAATGTCTCAACTTTCGTCACATATTCCCAGCAAAGTGAAAACTAAGTAAATTGAGCTTCAAGTCACTAATGTTTTCTTCCTGTTACAACCGTAGCCTCATGGTGAACTTTAGAAAAAGGTTCGATTTTTTCATAATAATTTTCCCTTGACATAAGTGCTTGATAATTAAACCAAATTCTTCCCCTTGAGTCAGATTTTTTTCTTCAGAGGGGTAAGTCAGATTGGTTTGAAATCTGATCCAAAGTTCAATCAAATGTTATCTCTTCTTTTAAAAAAATGGTATCCAAGTCAGTCATTATATGTATTGCTT